ATAGACAAAAAAAATACGGTACCCAACGATGAGCCACTATCAAACTGATGGTACCAACAGCAAGCCACAGTTTCCCTGGCTCCGTCTTCCCCCGCCACAACCCTGAACCCCAAATCTCCACCAACCCTTACACCTCCAGACCCTCGTAGCCTACTCCTCAAAGCATTTCTACAACTCCAGGATCGAATGGTAAGAGGCCCAGATCGGAGGCTCTGGGCAAAGTAGGGTCAGGTCTTAAGAGAAGAGTATGAAACTTCAAGCGTTCCTTTCAGGGTTCTACGACGGTTTCTATAAGTCTTAGTCAATATGCGGTCAAATGAAATATGGGAGCCGTACAGTACAGCATCGGATTCACGGATTTTGGATGTTGGGGTTTCGTTGGGGCAGTCGGGCTTTCTTGTGGAATACCGCAGCCGTACCACTCCGAAACTGCCTCTGCTAGTAGAGGGGTTTTCGAAATTGCTACATGGTGTTGGGGCATATTATACTAGAGCTGTAATAACCAATAAGTAGTCAGGCTTCTGTAGTACTTTCTGATTCGACTCATGGGCCATTCCATCAAAGCCACAGTCGCGTGAATTAGGGCATCACGGGCATCAGGGTTTATGGCTTCACTGCGCTTGGCGGCTTGGGCTTCGGGTTCCGGTAATACGTAGGTTTAGAGAAGACGGGATGCTGTTGCAGGTGCGGTTCATGAACTCGCGGTCGTGCGTCACGACCTCGAAATCAAGCTGGGGATCATACCCTAACCCCCCAGGCACTTACAATTTAGGGCCCTAGGGGCTCTGGTACCCTATATAGTAGGTACCTGGGGGGGTTAGGGATAGATTATACAGAGGTGTCTCAGCACAGAGGGCCTAAGGCCTACACTTCACCTTCAACCTTGAACCATATCCCACCCATCACTCTCAAAGAGATTGAGTATTGAGGGTTTAAACAAAAACCTAAGGGGCTACAGGGACCATAGGGACTCCAGGGCTTATGGGGTTTAGGGATCCTTCACCACGGGCTTTTAGAAAACCCTCTTCCATAGGGACTCTAGGGCTTATGGGGTTTAGGGATCCTTCACTACGGGCTTCAAAAGACCCCTCTTCCGCTTCAGGGAGTCGGAAGATCGGAAGGTTTGAGCGCCTTCCGACCCCAACCGCAAAGCGAAAGGCTGAAGCCCGTCGCTTTTAGGGCTCCTTAAAGGGATCTATAAGGGTTTCTATAGGGTTTCTATGGGGACTAGAAGGGTTCTATGTGGGTGGTTCTCTATTGGTGTCTTTTCCAGGGGTCCTGAGTATTTGGGTGCCGTAGAGTAGGACCCTCGTGATCAAGACTCTCTTAAAGGGACAAAAAAGTCGCAACTTCTGATCTCATAACGTTTTCGCAGAGTGCCACGGCCCTGAAGCGTTCAAGCCACCGGGCGTCGAACGTCCGAAACCTTCTTGCGGGAACAACGGGTTAAACGGCGACTCCTATTCTCAGGGACCTGGTTTACCAACCATGGGTGTTGACAATACCTACGATCACCGTTGCGCTTCCTTTCGGGGGCTAACGATGTCACATTATAGGCTCCTCGCCATCGGAGGGTTTTTACCAACAAAGGAGCTACAATGGGGACTATAGGTAATATAGGGGCCTTAATAATTAGAATAGGTTTGGGGTATATTATACCTATATTAAGGAACCCCCCAAAACCCTATTCTAATTATTATTATTATTATTACTATTATTATTAAGGCCCCTACATTGTTTCCGAGCACCTCGACTGGGAAGCTGAGGTGTGCGCGACAACTGGATTTTGCAGGGATTTGATGAAACTCTCAATCCACTCCACCTGGCCAGCTGGTCAGCTTTCTTCTGCATTGCTGGGCAAGTTTTTTGTGTAGGCTGGTTTAGGGGTAGCTGTTCAGACTGCTGTGATGACTCTAAAGACTTCCCCACTCCGCAGAGCAAGCGATTGCCAGCTAACCGTGGGTGTGGGTTCATGGCACGGGGCAGCCATTAACACCATCAAGGCTTGAGCATTTTGGAATTGGGGACTGGAGCTCTTGGATGGATGCTTCCATCTTGCAGGGTCCACTGCTCTCCGTGTCATCAGCCGTGCTCTGACCAGAGGTCGGGGCTTAGACTCATCAACTCTTGCGACTAAACTCCAAGCCTGCAGGTTTTACGCAGTTTACGCAGCGCCGAGACGCTGCTGACAAGGGGGTCAGGAGTGCACAGGAGCTCCAGCGAAGAATTACGTAGGATTATGATGGGTTTCGGGCTTGTAAAAGTTTAGTTAGGGTTCGAAGCCGATAAGCCTGTGATACTTCAAATTCCACTCCTGCTCTGTAACACACAACTAGCAGTTTGAGTGACGGACTAAAACATGGGCAAAGCCTGCCACACCTGGTTTGTTGTGCAGAGTCCTGCCAAACTTGGTGGGGGTTTTACTGACGTCTGCGAGCCAGGAAGCCCAAGTGGTGCTGCTTCACGGAAAATACTTAGCAGGGGGCTCTGCATTCTCCGAACAATGCGTCGGTAAGCTCCTGGAGCTATAGACAGCGATTCTGAACCAAGCTGGGCATGTCTTCTATAATCTGATCCCGACACCGAAAAGCAAACACCGAAAGCACAATCTTCAAACGCACACCCAAAAACAACTTCAAACCCTGAGACCCAAGATTGCTTAGTGTTGCGGGCCACCCTCAAGCCCAAAGTACAGCAAAACACAGGCAAATCCACCGCTTCCAAATCCAAGTGGTTCGTGGGCTCGTCGAGGAGGAGAATGTCAGGGCTGCCACGGGTGCATCGTAGGGCTTTACAAGGGCTCGAGAGGCGCATTGAAACCGTTTAAGACGTGCTGTATATGGTTTTTTGCTGACAGGGCTTGTAAGGCGTTTATACATGCAGAGCTGACATCAGCTTGGGGTGGACTGTGGCTTACCGTTAAAGGAGTCGGGTTTTGGGTTTCGGGTGTGATCGATTTGCTGCCGAACGAACCCTACAGTCCGAAGCCGAAATCCTCAAGGCCTAGTTCAACCTGACATCCGCTCTAAACTCGAAGCCCTACATCCATCAGGAACGTTTCAACCCCCGATACCTCTTGCTTGGAGGCGAGGCGGTGCAGGTGTGCGTGGAAAGGGCTGCAAACGGCAACAGCAGTGCAGCAGTATGGCACCTATAAGAGTGACTGAAGCTGCAAAACATCTGCGGCATCTCGAGTGCAAGAGCACAATAACAACGACAAGAGCACAACCAGACTCAAACCTAAATACTAAACAACTACCTAAACTCCAAAATCGAAATCCTTAACCCAAAGCCCTACAGCCCTAGCCCCAAATCTTGAACCCTATACCCTAGACTCTTCACCTCAAGCCCAAAAACCCTTTAAGCTGAAGACCCACCTGCTCATGAAGAGCTTGCTCACACCGATGCGGACCTGGCTCACTCCATCCAAAGGACAGGAGCTCAATGCGGCTTTCGGGTTTTGGGTTTTGGGTTTAGGGTTTTGGGTTTAGGGGATTTGGGAGAGTTTAGCGTTCAGGGAAGCTGAGGGTGGATCCGGATTTTATGGAAGCGTTAGGAAGCTTAGGTCCTGCAGGGTTCAGGGGGATAGGGAAAGTTTACCCTAACCCCCCAGGTACCTACTATATAGGGTACTAGAGCCCCCAGGGCCCTAAATAGTAGGTACCTGGGGGGTTAGGGTTAGGCTTGGGGTGTTTAGGGCTAACATCTCAGCACGGGCTGGTGGGCGGAAATAATATAACTATGCCTGGCGTGACTTTGCGGTTGCCAGCCCTTTTTGGCTTCTGCCGTGATACAATAGGGTTCCAAAATGTTTGATTTGCGGGAATTCGCGGGGCTGGCCGTCGCCATCACTACCCTTACGAGCCTGCCATCACTACATCCTGTACAGTTTAGGTACCTTCGACGACTGAGGCTAGTGTTCTCAACGAGGTGTAGCTTCGGGACAACAGAGGATTCAGCGGATGGCTCAGGGTCATATTTGCAATCGAAGCTCGGTCATGGGGGCGGGGGCCTATACCCTCCAAGACCCCAAACCCCATCTACCCCCAAGGTGGGCCTACGATAGATTATTCTGGTCCCCGATGTTCTCTGCTCTTCAGTAGACAAAACAACATCCAACTTTTCCACAATAGGAGACATGTATCTTCCAGTGGTTCAGAAGCGGCCATAAACTGTAAACCCTGAGCTCTTAACAGCGAAGCCGGACCCTGAAGCCCAGCAATCCGAGAGAACTTGCCTTCCAGCCACCACTGAAGAGGCCAACCTTGCAATTTGTAGAAAACTGAAGGGACTTAACACTCTGGGTTTCAGATTAGGGTTCCAAGCTTCAGGGGAGGACGGGGGGGAGGGGGGCGTGGGGGGTAAGTAAAGGGTTCTTAAAGTGCTGCAGGGTCATTTAGGTCTGAGGGTGCTGCGGGGGGCCTCACCCTCCGGACAAGTAAACGGCACTGCCCAGCTCCACATAAAAATAAATTGCTTGATGCTAGCATACCCGCAGGGACACTCCAAAACTGACCAACAGTCCGAAGCAGACCATGAGTTCAGGCTGAACAGCAAAACAAGGCCCCTAAAAACATGGACGGCTTTCGGGCTGTAGTAACTTGAGGGTTTTAGGGTCTTAAAGTTTTGTTACCCTAAACCCTAAACCCTTAAAACCCTAGAGCCCTGAAGCCCTAAAGCCCTAAAGTCCTAAACCCTAAAGCCCTAAACCCTTAAAGCCCTAAAGCCCCAAAGCCCTAAAAGCCCTAAAGCCCTAAAGCCCTAAAGCCCTAAGCTCCCGTTGACACGTTCCAAAGTGACGGGGGAATCACTCCAAACCTGGGCCTCGCTGTCCTCGCAAACTCTTTGCCTCGACCCTTAAAGTGTAATGTAGGGGCCGAAATTAGGGCTTAGGGGTTTAGGGTTTAGGGTTTAGGGTTTCGGGTTTATAGGGTTTAGGGATTTACGGTTTAGGGGTTTAGGGCTTATGAGGCTTAGGGTTTTATAGGGTTTAGGGTTTAGGGCTTAGGGCCTAGACGCTTAAAGTGTAATGTAGGGGCCTTAATAGTTACCAGTACTACTCCGCTCATTATTATCATCATAGTAGAATGGGCCCCCAAGGCCCTATTCTAATCATTAAGGTCCCTATATTAGCACTTTTCTGTTGGCTACCTTTGCCTCCAGGATCCAGCTAAACCCTAAACCCTAAATCCTAAATCCTAAACCCTAAACCCTAAACCTTTGGGTCCAAGTGCGCTCCAGAACTTGTGAGTTGGCAGTGGAAGCTTCCGTTGTCCTACAGACTTACAGCTTTCGGTTTAGGGTTTAGGGTTTAGGGTTTAGTTGGAGTCTTGGATTGATTTGTGCCCCCTTCCTAAATCTGATCTGGGGCGAAGACCTTTCGATCCAGATCCTCGTCCAAGAATCCGGCCTCGGAGGGATGCGAGGAGCTGGGGACGTGGGTTGAGGTTGTCTGTTTTGTCTGGGGAACCCTAAACCCTAAACCCTTAACCCTGGTTTAGGTTCTGGGCTTAGGTTCTGGGGGCCAGTTTGGGATGCAGGACTTAGGATGTGATGGGCCGCCTCTGTGGGGTTGGAGGAGAAGTGGGTGAACTGAAGAAGACTTGGCTTTTCTGTGCTGCGGGAGGTTCAGGCCAGCACTCTCGGACCTTTAGGCGATTCCCGCCTTCCTTTGCGTGCCAGGGAGATCCGCGAGTAATCAACTATAACTAGACTATAACTAGAGGCACCTTGGAAGTCTGCAGCTCAAACCCTGCCCGGGATATTGCGGCGGTGGGAACCTCTCCTTTGCCCGGGCCCTCTTCGGATCCGCAAACCACAGCACTCAAGTTTCGGGTTTACGTCAAGCCAACTTGGTACCAACCCCCGGAGCCCGTCGCCCTAAACCTCAAAGCGGACCAAGGTCACCATTGAAAACCCTTAGCAGCCCTGATATGAAGCCCTATGAGCTAGTAAGACCCCACACCGCCAAACTCTGAACCCCAAGCCTCGAACTCCCCAGATCCACAAACAACAACACCCTAGCCCAGAACTTCAAAACCCAAAGCTCGAAACCCACAAACCCCCAAAATCAAAACCCAACACGCCCTAAGCTCACGAAACCCTTCCCCCCGAATCGTCTTCTCCAGACCCTAAGCCCCTGAAACTCAAATCCGTACAAGGAAACACCCCGAATCGTCTTCTCCTCGAGCAAACGGCAATACTTTTGATGGTCGCAAGCTGGTCGTCCAACTTGTAGGTCTGCACAGGTTTAGGGTTTAGGGGGGTTTAGGGTTTAGGGGTTCTACGGTGGTTCCCAAAAGGACGACGAAAAGAGCTACTATAAACACAAGGGTGTCGGGTCAGGAGATGGTTACGAGAAGAGCTACTACGAGGGCTACGATAGATGAGAGTTACTCTGAGGCCTACTACGAGTAAGCCCTACCATAACGGCGACTACCTGGGCTACTAGAAGGGTTCCATAGGCTTGGGGTTAAGTTTCGGGTTTAGGGTTCTGGGCTTTGGGCTCCAATGGACTTAATATCCTCACAGAGTTCTGGATCGGGGTTCTTTGGGAAGGGGGGCGGGTCTAGGGCTTGGGGCCTCAATAATGAAACGTTTGGGGTTGCTTAGAGTCCAAAAAGTCTAAGTATGTTGTTTTGGTTGTCTAGAGTTCTGGACTTGGGGTAAATTAGGACACTGGGTTCACAAGGTTTCGGGGTGCAGGAGTGTAGGGCTCCGGATTCATTGCTCAGAAAGCATAAACATACCCAAAAAAGCAAACGTAGTTGTTAAAGCCACTCTGTTAGTGGCAACAGAAGTATGATGGACTCCCAAGTGCAGGGGACATTCTGCGGGGAAAAAGGTTTTGGGGCAGTGCATAAGACACAGCAGAATCCCAAACCCACCAGATATCTTTGTTTGGGTCATGGCGTCCTGACGCCCCAGATGATCTCCCGGACATTCTACGGTGAACTTATCCAGTAACTTCTGCCCTAAACCCTAAACTCGAACACACATCCGAATGACAAGGACCCCTTACCCAAACCGCCGCTGAAGTGACCGGAAGCCGGCAGCCCCAGGTTAGTAATATAGGGGCCTTGATAATGAGGGTGGGGTTGGGGGGTGCCGTGTATATACTATCAGAAAAAAACAAAATCGAATTCTGTACTGTTGTATTGAGGAGGGAGATGCTCTTGATCCAAACAATCGCTACGTGCGAGTGGTGGTGCACTTTGCTTCCTGCAATAATCGTTTCTCAGTGGACCTCAGAACCCTACGTACACCCTAAACTCTACGCGAATAAATTCTATTGTCAGTTAACTCTATTTTTTTGCTAAAGACTTCAGAGCCACTTTCAATTCTCCAGTGACCGGCTAGCAGAATACACCAACCCTCCCAAGGGCGCGCCCCGTACTCCTCCTCCATCGTGGTGAGTTCCGTAAGCCTGCAGTCAGGGCGTCAGGGTTCACAAACCGCAAACCCGTTTTAGAGTGCAGAGTTTGAACGCAGGAGATCTGTACTCAGGGTTTACCAAAGCTTACAGCCTTGCACCCTAAACCCACAAGGCCCAGCAGAAGGATAACTGCCTGTACAACCCCATGAAAACGATCATGAAACTCATCATGCCCTAGAAACTCCTATGCGCGCTGGGCTTACCCACACCAGGAACCCTAAACCCTAAACCCTAAAAGCCGAACCCTAAAAGGGTCGAGGGTCTTGGGGGTTTTTTGAACCCTAAACGGAGAGGGCTCCTGAAAACCCTGGCTTGCCTGTCGACGAGCCGCATCTGCTCCTGCGGATCTTCTGGATTCGCCTCAGGGCTCTGGGGTTGAACCCTAAACCCTAAACCCTAAACCCTAAACCCTTTATAGGTTTTAGAGTTTATAGGGTTTGGGACCCAGGGTTTGGAGGGTTTCGGGTTTCGAGTTTAGGGTTTTGGGTTTGGAGGGTTCAGAGTTTTGGGTTTTGGGTTTGGAGGGTTTAGGGTTTAGGGCTTTGGGTTTGGAGGGTTTTGGGTTTAGGGCTTATAGGGTTTTGGGTTTGGGGCTTATAGGGTTTAGGGCTTTGGGTTTGGAGGGTTTAGGGTTTAGGGTTTTGGTTTTAGGTACTGGTGCAGAAAGAGTTTAGGGTTTAGGGTTGAGGGTATGCCACGCACAAGTTCACTGGTGTTCATGTTCATACGGGAGTACGAGCATGGCAACGCGTCTCTTTCTCTTGATTATGGTCTATAGGTATTGTTTTTGAGCTTGGGCCGCCTTCCTGCAAAGGGCCTTTCACGGCAGCAATAAAATCTTCCAGGGAAAAATACTAGCTACTACTTCTCAGGCCGAAGTGGATACTCCACGCAGGTGTTTCAGGGTCCTCTTTGCAGGATATGCCTGGACATGGACTGTGAAAACTGCTACTACCACCACTCGCCCGCTCCCGGAAATAGATACAGCGTGGCCTCTGCGGACTACAGAGGCCCGAACTTGGGGGTCTTGTCGGCCGCAGAAGCTGAGACAACCCCAGACCCGAAACCCTAAAGAACCCGCAACAATGTTCAGACCTCCGCTGGTACTACTCCTTCAGTTTCACCCCGAACCCTCGACCCTGAACCCTGAATTCCAAACCCTAAACCCGCACAGAACCTTAACAGCCTCAGACTTCAGGCATGTATGCCCTGAATGTTTAGGCTTTGGGTTGTCGAAACTGGTCGGCCAGGTTGACAATGAAGCACGAAATAAGAGGCCTTAAGAATTAGAAAAAGGCTCTTTGGGGTAGACCATTGATCTTTCAGGCCCGTAGCTTTGGGAAATGGCAGCCCTTAACCTTTTGAGCCTCCAGCCTCCAGCGCCTTCTCGACCTCCTCCTTCTCGTCTAGGATGGCCTCGCAGTCTGGATGCAAGGTTGAGTTTGGGTGATCATGATGGTGCTCCCTCTCTCTCTCAGCCTCTCGCTGTCGCTTTGGCTCTAGCTGCCTCTGTCTCTGTCTCTGTCTCTCTCTCTCTCTCTATCTCTCTCTCTCTCTCTTTCTCTCGCTCGCTCTCTCTCTCTCTCTCTCTCTCTCTCTCACTCACTCAGCATATGCACATAGTAAAAGCT